AGTACTGACTTCAAAGTATTTGTTTTTAAATTTTAATCAGCTATCACTGGAGAGAGTGTGTGCATATGTATGTGTGTGTATTCAAGATCGGAAAGTGATCTCCTTATGTTTTTCTCAGAATCAGATGATACTCAACACTAAAAGGTCGAGTTCTCAACACAATTCACTGTAAAGTTAACTCTTAAGATGTATTCTTTTTAAGAGTCAAGTTGTAATTTAGGAATATTTTGAACTTAAAAATACAACAGTTACTTATTCTTCAAATTCATGTGTTTTATCTTATTTTGTTGAAACTTCCTGTCAAATGCCAAGAGAATTAGTGTTGAATAGCCATGATCTAATTATAAGAATGCAATTTAATTGCGTGCAAAATAATACAATACAAGAAACTATTTCAAGGTTTAAACAGGAAATGATAAATTTTGCAGGAAATTATCTCAATAACAAAACAAAACAAAACAAAATAAAAACACTTTAGCCAAGTCTTATCACAGTATAAGAAATAAACTATTTTTAACTCTGGGCTTGGAAACTTTTTTCTTTTAGGACTTCTATCTGTTATATTTAATCTGTCCCCTAAACTTGCCCTTCCTTTCCATGTCCACTGCTCTGTCCTACATCGTTATCTTCTGATGAGTAAATTAATCAAAGCCTAATTGTTTTTTGTCCCTCTAGCACATTCCTTGTCCTTCTTAGAAAAATATCTGTAGTTAGATTTGTGCTCGAATTCAGACATCAAACTGTAATTTATACAGGAAAAACCGATTGGCTTCCCAACCAGATCCCAAATTACTTCTCCAGTTTTGTATTCTAATATTCCACAACAAACTCCCTTATTCCATACTTTTACTGTGTACTTAATCATTTCTTTGTCCCAGTTTCCTTTAATGATGCAATAGCATTTCCTTCTGTTTGGCTTTCTTATTCTCACTCTCTTTCTTTTTTTTCTCTCTGACAATTGCTATTTCATTTTAAAGTCCAATTCAAATGTTAGATCCATTTTTCAAGTTTCTTCGTGAACCTGAGGGACAAATTATACACTCCTGACAATATGCTCCACTATTATGCCAATAGTGAACTTCATATCCCACTGGTTTCACCATGACGCCTATGCATTTTTAAAGATGGTGCTCAGCTCTTCATTTTTGTATCTGCAGTATCTGACACTCAGTACACATTCAATAAATATACGTAATTGATTTTCTGCAAATTATCTATTTTATGCTCCTGTATATGTGCATGAGTGAATTTGGCCTTTTGGTCATTTTCGACTTTTAAGCAAGAGTTTATTTCTTATATATTTTTTTCTGAGCTTGCTTTCCTTGATAAAAGGGAAACACTGACTTAATTCATAAAAACAGCATCTGTGACTTTGGGGGGAAGCATTAAGACATTTTTTCTCAGCTAGTCTTCTCTTTCACTAGTAGGCCTCTTGGCTGCAGATGGGACTTAATTGCTCCTTAAATATATCCAGCATTTATGCTTATACAATATTGCCCACTAGCCATTTAGCACTTCTGTTGTAGTTCTCTTACCCAAGACTCATCAATTTTACTATGAATTCTTATAACTCTCTAGCACAAAAAATATAAAAATCAGTAGTGTGTTCATGAGCAGACGTGTGTAAGTGCCAAGTTTAACAATTTGCTTTTTCAAGAAAGAGAATGAGTTAAAACAATATGGTACATAAACTAAATTGAAGTTTGTGAATAGAATAACCATTATAAATAATGAAACATATATCCGCTTGGCGATTTTACCGAGCCTCCTTCCTGTGTAGGAAAAATGTTTAGTTATATGTGTTCCATTGTGCCAAGGACAGACTGGCCCTTTCCAGTCACTTACCCTCTGACAGCATGAATAAGTCTCAATGATGGATAGGCAGTTCGCACTTTCAGTTTATTCTTAAGGATTAACGCATTAACCCACTCCACGTGCTTCTCTCCTCCTTTGACCATGAAAGCAGGAATCCAAAGGACACTGTCATTCAGCATGGAAAGTCTGTGCACAAATTTTTCTCTGTCACTCTCATTTCGAAAACCTCCAAATGCTCTTTGTACAACCGATGGATTCATGGTAATAAAATCTGATTTAGTTCCCACATCTGCAGCAAACTCCACCACAGGAGCTAGATTACACCTGAAGAGAAAAAAAAATAATGGATAAGTGAAAAATAAATATGAAACATTCACTCATAAAATGGTGTGCATGAAAAAGAAATGGGGAATGAGCATTTTTTTAAAACCAGGTTAAAAAAAAAGATAATCTTCCAGTTAAAATTATATTTTCACTGAGTCAACGCACATGCAGGAGTATTGCTTTCAATAATGATGTGCACCCCTACTATAGAGATCAAATTGTCACTTAGATTAATTCAACCTTTGTCTAAGAACACTCTTTGTAGTTATCTTCATAAAACCACACAATGCGAATTTATAATAAGTAAACTG